AATAAATAAACAAAAAGATAAAAATTATTTTAATCCAGTTTTTAAAGTTAAGATTATTAAACGGACTTTTCTACAAATTCTTTGATTGAAATTTTCAAGATTGAAATTCAAACAAAAATACAATTAAATGGCGAAGACCATATTTACTTAATTGTATTATATTTTTGTTTAAAATTTAATCTTCCATTCACTACAATATTTAATCTTAGCTATACACTCTAGGGTCCCTATGCAATTTGCTGAATCGAAATTTTTTAATTTCTGAACTTTTTTTTTCTTTGAATCTATATATCCCAAAGCTTTTTAATTTTATCGACTTTTACATATTATTCCCTAATCAATTTTCTATCAATTGAAAAAAAGATTAATTGAAATTTTTCATTTTTACGAAAGTTACGGTAATAAATATGGATGGAGTTCTAGAAGCCCGTGTATGTATATCAAGGATACAAAGAAAAGAGTGTATAACTTGGGTTAATATGTACTTCGTTGTATCTAAGGTTTTTTTACGGGAAGGAAATTTTACGATGAACTAATCGGTGCATGAAAATGAACGTTTTGTAAGCTTGAACGCTTTGTTGAAGTTTTTTTTAAATAATTTTTTCTACACATTTTTGATACTAATTTCGACGATATCGAGTAAATTCATAAAAAACTGGTTCTTACAGTGAAACCGCTCAAGGTGGAAATATTGGGGAAGGAGGTGATCCTATCGGCAGGAAAGACATATGACATGAAATGTCAGAGCACCGGTTCGAGGCCGCCGGCGGTCCTGACCTGGTGGAAATCCTCGAAGCAGCTGAAGGGACAGAAGAAAGTGAGTGATGCCAAGATCTTTCTTTCCTCCTTGCGTTTGCGCGGAATAAAAACGTGCCGCTTCGAGTTTAATTGCATCTTGTCTACTTAACCACTGTTTCGAGTTACGAGAAACGTTTTCTCGATTACACAAATCCACTCTGCTTTATTACGTCCACTAATCTGGTTACCCTAATGAAATGAACCACTTCATTTAAACACGAATGTTTTCGCAACGACGTGGCGAACGAATTATCGCGGGCGATGAAAATGTTGTTTTAGAGCATTGTTGATTCAATTGGGGAACACCATTATCTTGCACCATAGATCTTGATTGGAATTCGTATTTTTGTAACAACTATTTTATTTTGTTTTCCTTGTTACTTTATGTAATGAACACACGCGATTCGTTTTATCAACATGTTACTTTAAACACATAGAGGCGTTCATGATGAAAGAACGAAGCGAAGGGAGATTGTTATTGCTATTTTTTTTCATTAAAAAAGGATTGTTATTTCAGAGTATATTGTTAATTTACTTGGAGGCTATTATTATTTTATTTCGTATAACTCAGATTCCAATCAAAATCTTAATTTTCGCGAGTGCTATTTCAGTCCTTGTTCTCCGTATTACTTTTATATAACTATCGCGTCGCAATTCATTCTATCAACGTCTCGAAATTGAAATCTTCGATTCGCCACCGCAATCGCCGCACGAACGGATCGGAAATCGCAGAGTTTCTCTCTCTCTCTCTCTTTCTCCCTCCCCCTTCCCCCCTCTCTTTCCCCCCCCTCTCTCTCTCTCTCTCTCTCTCTCTCTTTCTCTGTCGATTGCGATAACATACATCCTTTTGCAATATCAATCACGAGAGCTCGTTCATGGCGCCTGTAGAATCAACGTAGCGCGAAAAATCCTCTCCTGTGATTAAACGAGGAATAATAGGAAAAGCGAGTTCGAAATAACGCAGGAAATAATGACGTCGGCGGAAGACGATGTCGCGCACCGGGCGATCTGTCTTCTCACAAACGACAGAGAACTGCTTCCGGCGGATCGATCCTTCGTTGCGCACTTCGCCCGCAGCAAAATAAAAATAAAAATGACAGTGTCTCGATACACGAAATACTGCTAGAAGCCCTTCGCCTGCGACATAAATGGGGAACTCGTGGAAATAAATTTACCTTTATCTTGCGCAATTTCTCCATGGATAGTCCGTCCTTCTTCTATCCTTGCATCCCGTTCTTTTTTTCTTCTTTTTTTTTCTTCCTTTCTTCCCGTTTTGAAAACTCCTTCGTTAATTAAAACATATAAGATGAAAGGAAGAAAATTTGTTGTCTACTTTATATTTATATTAAAAATTAATATAGCATAATGTATTAGGTTGGAACAAAAGTTCATAGTGTTATAAACTTTAAACTTCAAGCAGCTGTAAAAATGAACGAAATTAAAATTAACAAAATAAGTTTCAAAGCTTAAAATTTCTACTTTCGAAAGATCACTATGTCTTTCGAATTTTTGTAAGTTTGGTCATTTTACATATAAAAAATTATGAGTTGGACAAAATGGGAAATTTTCTTCTTATTTTAGGCCTCTTTATAGGTCTGTCATGTGCTCGAAAAAATCTTGTGAAACTTTCGACTTTTTAACGTTAAAGCTTAAAAGTTTCTTTATAATATCGTTTTTTATTCCTATATAAAATTTTTTTTAACTGATAACTATAATACTTTTTAACTAAGTTATCTCGAATTAAATAAAAGAAATGTTATGACTTTGATTGCTCATAACTTCATTAAAAAAACATCGCTCTATTGAATGGTATAATTAATAATTTTAAAAAACGCGTAGATCTGATACAAATAAAATAGCGGTACCAATTTTTGTTTCAATCTAATATTATATAAGCATTTCGTCTTTATTTAAATATTTTACAAGTTCAAATACAAGTGGGAGTACATATGAAAAATTACATTCGCACGGCACCGAAAATATATAGTTAAAATAGGGAACAAATTAATTTATAACTGCAAGCGCGCGAGAAACAATTTGTCACGTATAATTATGGCAATCAATTAGGATCTTTGTTTATTCTTTTCGTCCGTTTGCATTATTTTGTATGTCGTAATTTTATTTTATTTGCATTACGGAACGACGTAAGGAAGGAATAAGCCGGACTTTATTTTTATAAGTCGTTTATCTTGTCGTAAGAAACGCTAACAGCGATTTTCCAACGTCGTCGGAGCGATTTTGCGCGAAAATGCGGAAAGAAAACGGGGTCATTGCAGCTCTTTACTCGAAGGTGGATCAGTTAGCAAGCTCGTAAGATCAGAAACGTGTAACGAGCCCAATAACAAAAAGCCCATTCAACTTTTATATGACGCTACTGGGAAGATTAGGCCTCTCGTCTACCATTATACCAACAAAATTCGCCGTTCCTTCCTTTCGCTAGTGGAAAGACGATGTCTACATAAATGGATTTCCGGTGGAACCACAGTGGAATGGAGAACCTGACGAGATTATTTCTTCGGAATGATTAAGTAGATTGAACCTGCCCCACTATATATTTATCCACCTCGTGATAATTTGGAATTGCACCTCGAGGCTATAAGCCTGTATCATTTACGTCAGCGATTCTCAGTCGATCGTTCGTGAAAGCTTTTCCGGGAATTTGTAATTAAAAGTTCTCTAACAAATGTTTGCTTCAATCAAAACTTTTTCTCGTAAATTCTGTACGTGATAATTGAAATAATCTTATACGATTTATTTTTTAATAGTTTAAAAGATGCTTTAATATAAGATGCTGTATTTTATTATTTGCATCTTAAATTCATGTTTACAAATGTGCGAATACTGAATTTGTAACTCATTATTTTTTAATACTAAATGATACGTAAATTAATGATGTAATAACGAACGACATTGAAACAAAAAATTATTTTTAATGGAAATATAAAAGTCAAAATATTGTTTATTTGATAAAAAAAGTGACATAAAAAATTATCATTTTTCTAAATGACAGGAAATTAGTTCTAAAAGTGTTTATTTTTTTTGTCGAAAAAACGATACATTTGTAACTAGAAGAATTTACTACAGAAGGCAAAAAAATCATTTGTCCCTTGATCTCAAATTTGCAATGATTATATATTTATAAAAAAAAGACATTTTTTTAAATTAGATATCTTTTAAATTAGATATTTTTTAAATTAGATAGATTTTTAAATTAGATAAATAGATGAAGGAATTTCATCACTGCTAACATTTCGAGAAACTTGAAATTATGCCTTATTTTTCTTTAAAAATTCTTTAAAATGTTATCCCAGTTTAGAAATTTAAAAATGTTCTCCTGAAAAGTTGTTGATTTTGAGATGTGTCACTTTTCTATATCAACATCTGATTTTTATGAGAAATATAATATTATTAGCCATGATATATTGTTGCAATAATACACCGAAACAAAATAACTCCGGGAAATTGAGGCGGCCAACAGTTTCGTTAGCACTTACTCTAGTTTTGTAATAATAACACGTTGCGGGCGACAACGGGAAATAATCGATTTTCATTAATAAGAGACATCGTAAGCTACTTACCAAGCAAGTATAGCGAAGGATTCGCGCCGTTTTTACGTAAATTGAATCCAAAAGTTTTGCTTGCTAAAACCACGGTGAATTTCAAACTGTTAAGGAACAACATGATGTTCAGTCGGAAAATGATCTCTCGCCGTGGTGCAGCACGGTAATATCCCGCTCGGACCGTCCGATAATTAATTGGATCACTGGAACCGTCCGCCTGATAATTACGATAAATCCTTCCATAAGATATTACCTCGCACAGTGGTAATTATTTCCTTTTCTCTCTTCTTCTCATTACACGTCCCAACTTTGACATTAGGCTTCTTCTTTATAACTGAACGGTTCACTTTTCTCCTTTTCTCCTTTTCTCTTCATATTGAAAGAAAGAGAGAAAAGATGAACTATACAAGAAGTTCAACTAAAAGGAATATGCCTATTATACGCTTAGTAATAGTATCACAATTGCGAAATCATGACGTGCAGATTTCTGACGCTATGTATTAAAAGAAACCATCTCTGAGGAGAAAATGAAAAGAATTTTTCATTTCGGTAACGCGCGCGCGTTCTAAATTGTTTCCGCGTTAAAGAGCCGCAAATTTCGCTGAAATAAAGTCAGTCGGCATTCTCTCAAATTCCCGTTATTGATTTTACATTGTCACGCGTTCGCACAGCTAAGGCAGAATCGAGAATCGTGAGAAATGCGTTGGACAGCGACTGCGTCGGAGAAAAATTTCCGCATAAAGAGGAATGGCTCTGGAAAAAAATACCTACTCGACGATGCGGCAGGCGTGGTAGCGTGCCAACGACAGAGCGGATCGTAATTCTCGACGTGTTCTGTCTTACGTATTATCGTGGAGATCGTTTTTCGCGTTGGCTGGCATAACTTCAAGCCACTCTCGAGGGATCGGAATAAAAATCTATACCGATTTGCTTCCCTTTGAAGGGAAAATTTAATCCGATGCGGCTGGAGCTAGGCTAGCAAGTGCGAGTCGATCAATGGATTGATCGTGAACAAAGAATCCTGCATCAAGCATGAAATGCATATTTCATTTATTGCATTCGTTATGGAATGAACGTTAATATGCTATTATCATTATTGTTCCGAAATATTATATTATTCAGTATATTATATTTTTATTATCGAAATACCTGTTTAATGTATTATTAATCTGATTTTATTAATATTGAAATGTAATACGTATGTGCCAAATGCATAGAACATCAAAATGTTTTCTTTACGTTTGATTTCGAAATTGAGATAAACTTCATCAAAGCTGATACTTTTCTGAAGTACTGAAACATGGATAGTAGCAATTCCATTCGGTCACAATTCACTCGTACGATCTCGTACTAATTTCAGATTCAATTACTTCCGAAAGACATATGTTCGTCCATGCGCATCGAAAGGCTTCACGAATGAAAAAGCACTAAAAGTTTCTTGTTAAAAGTAGAGATTAAGCACCGAAACGTACTGAGAAGACCACCATTTGTCTAATTATATGTTGTTAGCACTAGATGAATCGTGTTTGACCAATTGATTTTTCCAATATTTAATTGAATATTTAATCTTCTTCACTTTTTTCATTCACAAATACTCAAATTACTTGATGCCTGAGTTCGCTTCATGTATAACTCACGCGTTGAATTCTATACGTGGCAGATCGTAATTTCGATAGTAATTTTTACTGCAAGAGATATCCTTGTGTAAGGATTCAAAGAACTGTGCGCGTTCGAACATTCCTTTATAACATCCATTTCGAACTCGTTGCCAAGCTTGTTCTTTAAAACATTCCTTAAAGGAGATCATTCCGGATATCAGATAACAGTCGGCGAAATCCTCGGGGGATGAAACAAAGGATAATCGCAGAGAAAATTTCTTGTACGTTAGCCAGACCGGGGCAAAAGAAAGAAATCGGCTGTCTTCTTATAAATCCAGTTTGTTTTCCTTCTCATCGTTGGGACAGGTAAAGTAAATGTATTTGATTCTTTTTCACGGGATGTATTATAGCGAAAAAATATTTCTTGCAGAGAGCTCTCATATTCTTTCTGCGATTTAGCGGTGATGACTTGGCTCCGCGCATTTCCGCGCGAGAATCAATAATTACTTTACCTCGACGTGTAATTGACAACAATTATATCTATAGACACAGGATTTTTTATACAAATAAAAGATTAAAAGATACACAAAATATGCAAATATACACAATATGCACCAAAAAATATGCACTTTTTAAATGATTTTCAATAAAACATTTTCACATTTTTTTGGTTTTACTTTCCAAAAAATATGCAATTATGCATAAGAATCCAATGTCTGATTAATTTATATCTAATAATTTTTTACGATGTTTTAAATTTAATCCTAAAATACTATCGATACGTAAATTTTAAGTTAAGAGCAATGTTAATGAGCGCTAAACTATGTCTTCAGTCAATCGAATTATCTAATCCATATATATAGATCACATACCTAGTCATTTCAAGATTGAATTTACGGTGTGCTTCTTTTTTTCATTTTAAGTTAATAATTAGCTTATTTGTGTTTATGAAAATCTCTAAATTATAAATATTTGTCGTTAAAAGTATATAAAAAACATGACGATGTTACATTAATTAAAAACAGCCTATTTTGTTATATATATAAAATTTACGTGTCAATAGCAATACTATTACTCAATAGCGATGGCATTCTAGGATTAAGTGAGATGACATTTGTTTAATATGAAAGATATACAGTAGTGTTCAGATTGCAAGCAACAAGATTTTTCTTTTTTGAGAGAATCTTCATCGTTCTCCGTTCTTTATTTTCCTAAGATAATATAAGAAAAAGTCTCATTGAAAATATAAGAAACATCTTTATAACAAAATACTCGTGAGAGCCTTCTATCTGAGAAGGGTTGAATTTTCCGTACGCGAGCCGAAACGTATTTTCTTCTCGATTTTGTCGGCAGAAAAACGGAGAGTATATTTACGCAGACGAACGATGAACCGAGAGATCTTTTATGAAGACTTCTACTAGAAGTCTTCAGAGAGTGATAGAATGTATACAGAATGTATACTCCACACGTATTCTGCAAACCTGCAACTATCTGTTTGATGAATTCAAAGTTGATTTTTGCTTGGAAGTTGCAGCGGAAACTCATCATTTCCAAGACTTCTTTCCTGGATTAAATCTCGTTTTTTAATCAATTTGTGAAAAATTCGATAAAATTTTATTTAAAATTTGATAAGGTCTATAAATTAGAATCTAATTTGAAAAAATTAGCTTAACATTTTAATACAATTCCTCCAGGTTAGCTTTTAATATCTAAATTGGAGGATAATACAGTATATCAGCATGTTCTGTTCAAACTACTTTAATTAAAACGAGAATGTTATTTCAATGTAGAATAGTCGATGTACCGATCTCGTGTAAAAAAATAGTCGACTCGGTCTTACTTTAATGAAATCAGCACGAAAACTCATGAACGCGAGCATTCGCATAACAGAATCGAGTCTGTTAATCCAGAAAACGGATTCGGGACAAAGTGACTATATGTACATACAATTGTAGCATTGATTAGATATTCGTGTGCTTTTAAATTATTTCCGTTAAAAAAGCATTATGATTACGGAAAAATTTTACCGATTGTAATTTTTAGTAATTTAGTTGCCCTTTGTTCGAATATTATTTCAATCTGGAAATTAATTAAAATTGTTCGGGCTAAAAACTCAATAACAAAAGCTACACGTGAAAAACATAATCTACTTAGATATAGTTAAATTTCACAAGATAATGTTTTTTTCTCATTCACCATTGAATAATATGATTATTATTTTATAATTTTTTAATATCTATTGATTTATATAAAATACAGAGTTTATGCCACACACACACATAAATTAATTAAAAATCGATAGAGAAATTAACGTTATTAATTTTGAAAAATGAGCAGATGATTCCAAAATTATTTCATCAAAATTTTTTATCTTTCAAATTTTTGATAATGTGATAAAACTATTGACACGGAAGATACTTGGTACCCTAAAGGATATCGCGAATGTCCATGAATCTGTCGAAACATTTTGACGTTTTACCGGATGATTGTATCGAAAAGCCACGACCGTGTTGTCGAAATAAATAAATCATCGGCCATGTCAGAATCTTGTCGGCGCGATGAATGCCGCGTTCCGACCGGGAAATTTTCATTAAACTGCCGGTCGTTAAATAACGTTGCGAATATTGCTGAAAGAAAATATGTACATAAAAAAGAAGAGGCAGACGCATGTATACGCGCGGGGAGATGCATGAGCGGCCGATCGTGATAATTTATCGGCGCGTCGATGCACCGGTGCGACTAAATTAATAGTTTCATGGGGGTGACAGACAGCTTGATAATAATTTATCGGCGCGTCCGTGTAATTGCAATCGCGAGCCATCTGGGAGCGTTGGATTGATCGGTATCGGTGTCATCAATAATCGTCGCCGACGAATGTATAATGATGCTCGAGGAAGTGTAGCCTCGAAAATCGGCCCGCATGAATTGCGTGTGGCATTTGTGTGCGTTTGCTAAACATGTTTGTCAACACGCGTCCGATCACTGGTTAGGACAACCGTGTGTTTTGGGTAATTAATGACGGCGAATGGGGATCACGATTGGCTATAGAAATATTTGTCCACATCGCGTCCACACCCCCTCCGCCAAATTTAATTGTGATTAGATGTGCGATGAATGTTGCTGATGTCGTTGCAATCAATTTCGAATATACATAGGATTTGGTTAATTCAGGAATCACTTTTATGAACCTTTGTCGAAAATACTGTGAAAAACAAACTCGAAAAGAAAAATACACTGTTATATTCATAATATTAAATTATATTTAATTCGAAGTATCTTTAATTATTTCTACAGGTTGTCACTCAATATATCGTTAATTTTACTAATAAAACAGTGGATTTAAATAATTTAATTCAAGAAAATGTATTAAATTTGATTCGAGTTTATTATTTATTATTAAATACATACGTTAATATGAATATTGTTTACTTTGAAACCAATCACAGAAATGTATTGATTTACATTTTGGCATACATGGAAATTAAAATAACAAAATATTGTTTAACTCAAAGGCTTGGATTATCAATGCTCTTTTGATATCTAATAATGTACGTTACATATGAGAATTGATATCAATTTATCGTTTATGTATAGAATAATTCTTATGTATAGATATTTCACAATACAGTATTGATAAAATCTGATCATCTGATTCATCTACATTCAATGAAACTTACTTTAATTTGACTCGGATCTCATTAAAATATCGCATTCGCCAAGCGCGAACTTGCCTTATTAGAGACTGTTATGGAAAGACGCGTTATAGAAAGGAAACATGAAATTCTTTGCTCGTTAATCGATTATTGGAAAAGCATACAAAGAGGATATTCCATTAATCGAGGCACTCTTGCGCGACCAAACGACTCTCGCGGGAGATGCTGGATCGATCCAAATAAAATGGATAAACATGGAGCTGCGCTCTACCCCCCCCCTCCCTCCCCCTTCTCTCTCTGTCTCTCTCTCTCTCTCTCTCTCTCTCTCTC